TGTTATGAGGTGTTGATGTTGAGCAGAGATCATCCGTTCGGCTCACATGGTAATTGACTCGACACCAGAACCACTGAGCTGACCCCTGCGTCTCGTTCTATTTCTCTTCCCGGGACACCAGAACCTTTCCTTTGCAGTTTTCGGAGGCTTTGAAATCCCGACTCAAAAGTGGAGGTGGATCCCAGCAGGAACACGGCTCATTTCTCTGCCCCAGAGGAGACGTACTGCCACAGGGTCCAGAGATGAGCCTTTGCCCGTCCACTCTCTGTTCCTGGTAGGTGTTCACTGACGATAAATATTTAATTTCCTTATAAAACAAATAGTTACACATCATTCCTTCCCCGAGCTTTGTTGTTGACAGTGACGTGGCAGGTAGTTTGTGATAGTTGCGGTGGAATGCAGGAGAGAAAAATGGCTTGTTGAGAACAATCATAACTCAGCACGTCACAGAAAAAAACCTGACCGCAGCGGTCAGAGTCCCTCATTGGGAAGTGTTGTGACAAGGGAGTTTGTGCCCTTTTGAGTCCTGATGGATAACTAAAATCTGCAGTGCAGTCGAAAAGCAAGCGATTTTATATCGAGTGCAGAATTGCCATGATACCACAACTCCCTTCTCTATTTCAGCTAAATGGAGACCAGTGGAGGAACATGATTTGTTGAGCATTTCCTAAATAACGTTCCTTTGCCATTTTGGTTCCATGTGCACTGTATGTATTTAATTGTGTACTGTTGTTAACTCAAATCTGCAGTGCAGTCGAAAAGCAAGCGATTGTATATTGAGTGCAGAATTGCCATGATACCACAACTCCCTTCTCTATTTCAGCTAAATGGAGACCAGTGGAGGAACATGATTTGTTGAGCATTTCCTAAATAACGTTCCTTTGCCATTTTGGTTCCATGTGCACTGTATGTATTTAATTGTGTACTGTTGTTAACATAAGGAGCAATTCCTACACGATCAGGACCTTTTATTGAACCTGATGTATGCTGAAAAAAAATTGGTGTGGAAACAATTTTCGCTCAGAAATTGCTAGTAAATTTCACAAATAACTGGTAACACATTAAATTAAATGTGACATTTTGATGTAGAAACACTGAAATATTATTTTCTTGTATTAATATAATTAAAAATATGAATATTATGAATATAAATTAAGATAACATAATTTTTTATATATAATTTTATAAAAAATAATATCCATTGTATTATGTATTTAATTAATTTTTTTACAATGCACTGTAGTCAGGTTGATTCGGTCACATTAATCATTTTGATTTGGATCAGGGTAACTAAAATTTAAAAAAATAAACATTTAACATTTTTGTTAATTGAAATAAAAAAAAAGATAATTGAAATAAAATAATAAAAAACCTTTTGATTTCAGCAACATTTCCCATTTTAATTTAGTTTACTATATAGACCCATAAAAAACTACAAAAACACAACAAAATTGCTAACTATAATAAACAGCAACAACACTTTAAATGAAAATAAAAAGAAAACCGAAAATACAAAAAATGATTTAAAACATTAATGAAAACCTTGATAGTATCTCAATGATAAAATAACACTGAACTGAATACAAACAGTTAATTTAGATCTTGTCCATGCAGTACATTTTGCACTTTTTGTAAATTGTAAATCTGTCAAAAAAAAAAACAAAAAAAAAAATTGGTTTATTTTATTATTTGTTTTTTTTTTATTATGTTATTATTTTTTTTTTAATCTATAATAGTTGAATAATTCATAGCTGAACCGTGTACGTTTCACACTCCAGACCAGTAGGTGGCGGACATTCACCTTTAACGTTGGTTTGCCAATCCGCCAAAAAACTCGAGAGAAGACGACGACATCGCTTTTGGAGGGAAGACAGCAGCACAGACATTAGTGAGTAGTAGCAGTGGATGTTCTGTGATGTTTTGTGATGTTAGTTGGTTTGTATCTGAAGCATTTCATCCTGTTTGCTAAAATGGCAGAAATCAATGTGATATTGTCACAGTTTTTTCCTCATGTAAGCTGGCTATGAATCCTTCACTGAGCAATGGCAAATTCTTGTTATTGTGTAAATTGTAATGACATATTTAATAAAGAAAATGTTTCAGTTTGATCAGGATATATCATATCAGGACAAGTCTGATTACTTCTATAAAAAGACTTTTATTTAAAAAAACAGACTTTTATTCCTTAAATTACAACACAGCAATTGCTGCAAGTACTTTGCATTTACCCAATGCTACATTGCATTTAAGGTATGCATTTTATGATTTACTTAAAGTGATCTAAATTAAAATGATTCTTGAACATTTTGTCAACTTTTTATGATGTTCTATCCACTTTAAATTTATAAAGTGGAAGTGCATAATTTTGTTGACTATTAGAATTGAACAGTGGGTTTCTAGTTTCCGTCATGCTTTGCATGCGACTGTAATGGGAGAGCAGATACTGAAATTAAGTGTTGGTTTATGTGTTTTTTTTTTTAAATAAAGGGAACAACTTTTTAATGTTTTAATATTTAGCTATGTTGGAGATTTGTTAGATTTTCTGTTATGTTGGAGTATTGTGGTTACTATTGTACATATGTACAAATGGCTACGTTGTGATTGTGATGAATTAAGATATTTCTCACACAATGAACAATATCTGTGCTAACAGCAGTGCAGTGATACATTGTTTTACTTGCTCGTCCAATACATTATATTTAATAACAAAAAGAATGAAAGAAAACTTCTTTTTTTTTTCATTCCATGGCGGAAAAAAAAAAGAATCTAAAGAATTGCAATTCTTAAGATTTGTATTTATTTATTTAATTTTATTTATTGTTTATTATTATTAGTATTATCATTATTAGTATTAATTCCATGGTGGAAATATGCTTTGCTTGAATGGACTTGTTCTAGTCTTGTTGTACGAACCGTAGTTATGTTTAAGTGTATCGAACAAGTAATTTTTTGTGTGCATTCAATTTCAAAAGTTACAAAGACGGTTTACAAGGTTCCTCAGCACCGGAACATGATTTGAAAATCAAGTAAAAAATCCAATAACATTTTTCAATATTTGAAAGCCGTTTTTCAATAATGTATCAAAAAGGAATGTGCAGTATGATGAAAATCTTACACCATCATTTTATATCACAGTCACAATATCATAATTGCATATCATGGTAACAGTGACTATCTCAACATATAGTCATAGCGCTCACCAAACTTCAAACTATAGGTGACGCATGAAGCTAACTGAGGGTGGCAATGGTATGTCACCCACGTCGGCTGCTAAAGATTTGTTCCTGGCTGTATTTCATCAAGAGCTCCTCATTACTGCTTCTTTTGCATGTTTTAGTGTGTGTGAGGTGTGTGTCCCTTTAAACCTGTCAGTTAATGAGCGCTTCTCTCTCACACACTCCTGTGTTTAATCACAAAGATGAGAGACCATCTGAACATCGGCATTACTTATTACAAGACTTCTTTTCATCCAGACCGTCCGCTGATACTCGCTAGCAAGTCAAGGAGGTAAAAACTTGCCAGTTACATTTCTCCTCCTCCAAATTTTCACAATTTCCCTGCTAATTCTCTCTGTAGCTACAGGCCCCTGCCTTCGTGCTTTTGAAGTCCAAACTTTGTTAAACTCGGTGTGCAATGGTTATGAGAAATTAGACAAACGCTTCTGAGTGTGTGAATAGAGACAGGCAGCGGAAGGAAAGTTTTATTTCTCAGACGAATAAATATCTGCAATCAAAAAATATCAGTATTGTACTAAGAGTTGACAAACTCAACCATTTTATTTTGAGCAGGTTATTCCCAGGCCTATTCTTGGGATCAACAGGTTAAATAACTTGTCTAAATCATCTTTATTATATTTTATGAAGGATATGTTTATATCCTCTAATCTGCTTTGCTGCTTTTGTTGTAATTGGCCAATAATAATAATAATAATAATAATAATAAACGTTCACTTAATCTGGTTCCTGCCATGTGGCTTTACCTCCAAAATGTGCATGTCATGATCAAATAACTTCCCAGCAAAGCATCATTAAAATGCATTTATGCGCTTTGGAATTGGATGTGATCCCTGATGCACTGGATGTAGGTAGCCCAGTGTTCTGGCTCAGCCCTGGATGTTTTAGATTCTGTGGGTTGACCAGGCTTCCCTTCCACCACATTTCAATCGCTCTGCTCCCAATTCTGAAGCCCACATTGACTGGGGCCTGGGGATATTCAGTCCCAAATTAAGAGGCACGACTGGTCTGGCATTCCTCGCTTGTTAAGAGTCTGAAGCCAGACTTCAAACTCTCAGATGCAGGTGTAGCCTGTTGGGAAGAGTGAAATATTAATTGTATTTTTTTTGTATGATGAACTTCCCAAAACTATTTTTCTGTGGAGTTGAAGTCATTTAATTTCACTAAATATTAAATTCCTATATAGGTCATGCAATGTTAATGTGAGTAGGAACTATTAATTATGGTGTTTGTTCGAATGGGACACTTATCCGTGTTGCGTGCTATGCTTTTGGGGAGTGCGTGAGTTGCGTCAGCCTCAGACCGTGAATGGACGCTGGCGAGGCAAGACGCACATGTTCCCTTCTCTTCTTCCAGTCATTATTGGTATGTTTAAAAGTATTAATTTGGTCAGAATTCATTAAATATAAAACGGAATGTGTTCTGAGTCAAGTATACATATGTCTTTTTGTGTATTGGTTACTTTATGTGAGTTTTATGCGACTTTTGTCTGACGCACGTGGAGCTAACAAACTCATGGTTTGTGCACAGTGTTTAACGGAAGAAGTTAGCGTAACAGATGTTTCTCTTATCAAGTGTTCCATGTGTCTCAGGTATGTTCAGTTCTTTAACTCAAATTGTATAAAATTGTAGATATGTGCAATTAGGTTCATAATGTTATGGACTAATTTTGAATATATGTTTTGTTAATTGTTAATACTATTTTCTCTATTGCCACTTTATTCTGTAATGCATTTAATTGTGTAGCATTTGGATTATGCACTGATTTCACATTTCTATAGTGTCGTTGTGAATGTGTATGATGTTTTGGGAGAATGTTGGTATGTTGTTTCATGTGAACATTAATTTTATACACCATTCATTGTTAATAATACATATGGAGACAACAGTTGACAGCGATATATAAACAGTAATTTTATTTAAATTTCCTTATTTCTTGTTTAAATGTATTACACAATGTTAAACATAAATTGTTGTAACATGTCAGTCTCAGACCGCGAATGGACGCTGGCGAGGCAAGACGCACATTTTCCCTTCTCTTCTTCCAGTCATTATTGGTATGGTTAAAAGTATTAACTTGGTCAAAATTCATTAAATATAAAACGGAATGTGTTCTGAGTTAAGTATACAAATGTATTTTTGTGTATTGGTTACTTTGTGAGTTTTATGCGACTTTTGTCTGATGCACGTGGAGCTAACAAACTCATGGTTTGTGCACAGTGTTTAACGGAAGAAGTTAGCGTAACAGATGTTTCTCTTATCAAGTGTTCCATGTGTTTCAGGTATGTTCAGTTCTTTAACTCAAATTGTATAAAATTATAGAATTTGTGTAATTAGGTTCATAATGTTATGGACTAATTTTGAATATATGTTTTGTTAATTGTTAATACTATTTTCTCTATTGCCACTTTATTCTGTAATGCATTTAATTGTGTAGCATTTGGATTATGCACTGATTTCACATTTCTATAGTGTCGTTGTGAATGTGTATGATGTTTTGGGAGAATGTTGGTATGTTGTTTCATGTGAACATTAATTTTATACACCATTCATTGTTAATAATACATATGGAGACAACAGTTGACAGCGATATATAAACAGTAATTTTATTTTAATTTCCTTATTTCTTGTTTAAATGTATTACACAATGTTAAACATAAATTGTTGTAACATGTCAGTCTCAGACCGCGAATGGACGCTGGCGAGGCAAGACGCACATTTTCCCTTCTCTTCTTCCAGTCATTATTGGTATGGTTAAAAGTATTAATTTGGTCAAAATTCATTAAATATAAAACTGAATGTGTTCTGAGTCAAGTATACAAATGTATTTTTGTGTATTGGTTACTTTGTGAGTTTTATGCGACTTTTGTCTGACGCACGTGGAGCTAACAAACTCATGGTTTGTGCACAGTGTTTAACGGAAGAAGTTAGCGTAACAGATGTTTCTCTTATCAAGTGTTCCATGTGTTACAGGTCAATAAATGGAACCGTTTTGAAGCTGGTTTGCTGTCGCAAGTGAAATTCCTTATGTACAGAACGAGATCTGCTACATAAAACTGGTGCCGTGACCTTCTTGGATACAACTGATCAGCTGCAGCTGATCACCGGGTGTTGTCTGTTCACGTGGAGCTGTTGCTGTGATCTCTTTGGATTCATCGGGCCGGTCGTTGTAGTTGTGGCCGGATGTCAAATAGGGGATTGAGTCCTGCCTTCCAGCGTCAACTAC